AGGCTGTGGCCCAGCCTGTTACATAATGGACAAACAGCTTTTACTACCTTGAGGACTTTTAAGAAAAACACAGGCTGAAATTACAGTTCACAGCCACATGAGGGTAGCAAAGCTATGGACACTGTACTGTATATAAACGTAGTAAATGAAAATGTGAGCCCTCTGGCGGTGAAACAGTGTAAATACTTTTGCAGTTCAGTCTATGAAAATGAAAAGTACTGTAGATCATTGTATGTGGGCGCTGGGTAAAATAGTGACTAGAGACTAGTACCTGCTATTGATCACAATTACATATTTAAGGTGAACAGACAGAATATACAGAAAATTCAAATTCAATATGAATAATATTCTTCATACATTTATATGTTTAAATTCTGATTCATCCTTGATGACTGCTGCCCTGAGCAGGATAAGCAGCTGGAGGATGGATGGATGAATGAATGAATGACCTCTGCTGTAAAATCAAATACTCTCAATATTCCGTAATCACTAATAAGCTGAACAGGTACACAGCAAATGTGCCAGTGTTAAATTAACACTGCATGGTGTCTATATGTGTCCACACCATTTAGTGTTACCTTTAACAATTTACAGTGTGCAGTGAGTGTCGTTTTTTCAGTGTTAATGTTTATTAACTTTTATAGTGTTCAATTTAAAACCTAGAGTGTTGTCAAAGAGTCTCCACCTCCACATATCTGCCCCATTTTAATATGTGCACAAGACGTCATGAGGATCAGAAGAGCCATCCCAGATTTACTCACCATCATGAGAAAGACTCTGACCAAACAGGACCTTACAGCTTTTCCTTGTTTTATATTAAAACTTTACTGACTCGGTTCTTACTGATCTTGAAGATTAGAGAGCTGTGGTCTTATTGAATGTTGCTATTGAGTCAAAGGACGAACTCTTGGAGATGTACAAGTCTCCAGAGTGGTATATGTTTTTATGGTGTGGGGTATGTTTGACTGCGAGTCCTGTCCTTGGATGATTAACATATGTGGAAAGGTGTTAGGACAGTTGTGATACCCTTTTCTGTGCAGCTCCTGGTACCATCCACTCCCCTGTAGACCAATGGTGCTTGATGTATATTTGCATAGCATGACACAGTACTGTTTTTGACTTAATAGATTTTTTTTTAATCCACCACAATTGTGATGAATAAGGCAAGAGAACAAAAACCACCGAAATGGCTGTTGCATTCCAGCCAAGGACCAGATGAGGTGGTTTAGCCTCTATGGCTTAACTAGAGAAGGCATCAGCTGGGAGGAAAATGCTATGGACAACCAATCATTTTGTTTCATTTTTAAGTCCGGTCTTTCCAGAAGGAGTGTTTGGATCTTCTGTATATTTACAATTGAGATTACTTCAGGAATGCCTACATGTAAGAACTACACTACTCACACCAACACAGGCAACTCAAAAATACAGATAATGAAATGTGGTAAAGTCTAATATCAGTGCCATACCAGCCTCGATCATGGTGGGTTTCTAAAAAATTAAGTTTAATGAAAATCTTAATATTAAATGAGCAAAGTGATTTGATTTGTTCTATCGCAAGTTGTGGTCTAAAACCAATGAGGCCACCACCCATTATATCTGCTTTAGCGGAAATACACTCCTTCAGTCATTAAGATAGCTCTCACGATTTTTCAGCCCTGCTAAATATGTGATGCAGTCTAGCTTCATAATCTATGTTTGGTGCCATACATTTCACACACTTTCATACCACAGGGAGTTCTTAACAGAGTTCTTTGATTATTAAGAACTGAACTGAAATAAAACTTGCATAAAAAGATAAAAGGCTATGTTGGTCTGAGTCTTTCTTATTATGGTGGGTTAGTAAAACACAGCAGCTGAATGCCCAAATGAGCTCAAATGAGAGACATTAAAATAGGGCAGATATGGGCCACCCATTTTGTACTTGTGTGCCACCCATAGGGGCTTGCAATTTGGGAAGAGGTGGAGACACGTTGTCTGATATAGACACCATGCAGTGTTAATTTAACACCGGCACATTTACTGTGTAGCGTGCAGGTTACTGGCTGGAACATTCTTGGCTTTGTGCTGTAATTTGTCTCGAGTTATAATTTGGCATGAGAGTAATGTGGGATGACTTACAGGTGCTGATCCTCATCTCAGCTACTTCACATTTGGCAAACTCCCATGTTCCCTCCAGTATCCTTGTGAGGGTAAAGAGCTGCTTTACTGTTCCATGACCAGGATGAAAACTTCATCGTTCATCCTGGATCCAAGGTTCAACCCACGGACGGATCCTCCACTCTATGAATTGCCACCTCATTGTGGTGGAGGGGCTTGTGTGCCTCTGTGATCCTAGGAGCTATGATGTCATGGGCTGTTACCCCTGGCCAGGTCTCCCAAAGGCGAATTGGTCCTAGGTGAGCAGCCAGAGAGAGTGTAATTCAGAAAGACCCGCATGATGATAAATAACAAGGATCATGTTACCTCACCCAGATTAGGGAGACTGGGTCCTCTCCCCAGACCCAGGCCTGGGGGCAGCAGGCAAATGAGCTGGTGGTGGTCGGGTCTCTATCCATGGGGCCTGGTCAGGCACAGCCCAAAAGAGTTACATGGGTCTGCCAGCCTGTGGGCCCTTTACCTGCAGGGGGGGCCGTGGGGGTCCAGTGCTGTATGAGTCAGGCAGCAGTCGAAGGCAGGGGCCTCGACGGACCGATCCTCAGTTACTGAATATTCATATATGTAACTTATACTTAATATATAAAACTAAAAATAAT